GTCAATCGACCACGTGGCGCGGACGCGGCATAAGATATTCTACAGTATCTTTTTTTTTATTTTATACTGTACTTGAGTATATTATTACATTCTAATCTACTGTATAGTGTTATGTATATAATAATTAAAGATCGTGTCTCACAAAAAAAAAAAAACAAACCGAATTCAATGGTGACAAAAGCAGTTATTTTGATTTAAAAACTAAACTACTGAACCAATTCCGATAAAAATTTTATGGGATCACTTTGTGAATATATTCTTTCAAATAAAAACAAAATTTTTCAAATTGGTTTAGTACTGGCGGAGGTATGACGTAATAAACATAAAAAATTACAACCGAACTTAGAATCTTCTTTTTGAAGTCGGTTGAAAATTACATCTATATTAGCTTTAACATTATCACATAAACTTATACATCACCCACTGATGAAATGAATACTTCTGCTGCTGTATTAGCTTACATGCGTTAAAATGTTTTATTAAAGTTAGGATGACATAATAGGTTACATCTTATTACTTGCCCACTTTGCTGTATTATATTTATAGTTTTATTCTGAAACACTTTAAATACTTTCCTGAGTTAAAAGATATTTTTAAAACTTTTACAGTCACATTTACTTTGAATAGACACAAGTATTCATAGAAAATTTATTAAAAAAAAGTAAATTATGTTGACTAACTAGCATAACAGCACATATGAAGATTACAACGAAGACAGTCGTATTACAACAGTAGGTATCGATCTCTCCATACATATTAAGCCTATCTAGTTCATGACCTGCGCGTAAAATCTTTCAAGGGCATGTCGATTGATTTTCTCAGAGCAGTGCACTTCTCTCTTTATTATTGTATATAGTAGTGGTGTATTACTCAGAACCCCATGGATGAGACACTTCGTTAATGTAATTCACAAATATGGTGGTGGCATTGCAGTATCGATCGGATCGCGTTAGCCTACCTTAGCTAGTTCATGACCTGCGCATAAAATGTTTCAAGGGCATATCGGTGTTATATTTGTTTTATTGATTGTTATTGTAATTTATTATTATAATGTATTACTTCTACCGCCTGCATGCGGGTATGGTATTTATTAATGTTATTTTTTAAATTAATATTATTATATATTTAAGTGAACGTTAAAATATTCTTAAACTGAAATAGGAACGTCTTTACTGCCATGAGTAAATATCCTGCTGATTATAAACTAATATAATATTTTTTTTATCTATCACCTTCCGAGATAGTATAGATTTGTTTGAAAATAATATTTTTATTACTAATTTTCCTTTTATCTACAAAATACACCTATCTTTTTTCTTATTACACTTGCGTTTATGTTGTGTAATGTAGCCAGCCATCAGGCGAGTCATGCATGTATAATCTTGTAATTTTACGGTAAACCTCTATGGAAATTTTTAATCAATATAATCGGAAATTTATCTTAAATTGCGATAAGATAACGAGTTAAAACACTTCCATTTGGTTAGACACGGGGCGTCAGCCACCGTTGTTAAGCAGGTGTTCGTTACTATTTACGTAGTACTTATATATTTGCAACCGACTACACTTTTATAATTTTCTAGAAAAAAATAGATAAATTAGTGGAACAAATGTTTTGAGCATATATTTATTCAAAAACTATTCCTGACAGAGACTTGGAACATTTATCATTGGATATGATGTACGCACTTGTTATTTTTGTGTGAGGATAGGTTGAAAAGTTTTTTTCCTCTACCAAAGGTAATGGCTGCATCGTCTTTTAAGACTATTTGTTTGACCTTAATTTTTTTTTTATTTTTCATAAGAAACAATAAAAATAAAATCTCTTCCAAAGAGATGTCATTACATAAAAAAATTAAAAAAAAACGTAAATAAATACTCGAATACAACATTAGTATGTACCTAATAGCAAATATATTCTTTGTTATTATATACTTATTTTCTGGATTACCTTTTACAATATATGTATTATTATAATTTTTTATAAAATGAAATGTGTTTCATTCTTCACTCCAAAATCTGTTATATTGTATTAATTATATAATCCAATTTTATGTAAGGTTCTGAGCAAAAACTCATCGACGTGAAAATACTATAAAATTATTCAAAATATACATAAATAGAAGTACAAACGATTAGGAGTTAAGTATTTATGCAAATTACTATTCAAGGTTATGGCTGTACTATATTTAGATGTCGTATAAAAATATTCAAGATTAAAACCAGTACTGGTTACATTATGTACAGTATATATATAAATAATATAAATAATTTCACTTATGTAGACAGCGATTAGATACTGGTATAGGGGTGCGCTTTTTTATCACGAATATTCTGCTCTTTTTATTTTAAAGACTGCTGACTTAAAGATAAAAATAGCAGCTTTTTATAGTTACGTAGTACTTACTTATCTATTTTGTGCTTACACTTTTTGTAACAAGAAGCGTCACGATAATGAATCACACGGTTGCGTCTGACACAGGTAAAACAAGAATATTTTTTTCGTATCAAATATCATCACATTAACCGGAAGGTCAGGTGACGTGAAAGATAAAATTACTTTTACTCGTAAATACGATTTGTATATGAATTTTTAATATCCTATCATGGTGCTCGCAATAATGTGGTCATTAAACTGTATTTTTATATCGCCACAGAACGTTCGAGATCCAGGAAACCATGGGTCGTCATCTGTCGAGTAATATTCCACTGATATTTTTGAATGTTGACGTATGTGTGCTATGTGGGGCTGGTTTTCTGCGTGTGTGTGTACCAGTATGAGTGCAAGTGTATGTATCAGTAAAGATACCACGACATCGACGTCGTTTGACGTAATATTTGCAAAACTAGTCATTTACTTAAAAGTACAAATTCCTGAAATTACTTTATCGCAAATAGATACTAATAATAAATACTTGATCTTTTAATATAATCTAAGTGGCTAAATGAATTTCGATAGAATTTAACGTTATGACCAAATAAGAATAATACAGTAAAATTTTTGCCCCGGAGTAAACAATGCTTCTTAGTTGGAATTGTAGCATATTTAGAACTTGAATATGATTATTATTAATGCACCTATTACTGTTTAGTTATCGATCTTTTAGTTTATCATACTACTTCCCTTCCAACATTTTTTTTTGGAAAACAATCTACTTTACCTCTGAATTGGTTAGTTGTCAAGAAACTCTTCGTAGTATCTTCTTACTTTCCTTCAAAAGACTTATCTATCACCTGTTCACCCTTATCCTCAAATATAGCGAAAAAAATACACTTCAACTGCACTTGAAAGGTGGTTAGATTTCCGAATGTAGCACAAGTAATTTGCGCGCATGTAGCCACGTACTTTTAAATATAAATAAATTCGCAATTAAGTGTTTAGTCAGTCCCAATAACGCTACTTATGATGTAATGTTGAAATAAGGACATTCGAATTGGCACGTCTGCATCGTTTATTTATGTGCACTCGACGCACTGTGACGCATATGGTGACGTTCCCGTGAAAGCTATGTGGGTGTGTGCGTTCGAGGGCGGGGCACGCGCACCCAAGCTTTCGGGAATGTTGGCGCGCACAGGCGCACACGCATGGTGACGTGCTCGTGTGCACGTGCACACTTTGCCTCAGATAGAGAATGTTCCATGCGGAGGCTGGAGTCTCGAGCCTGCTGTAGCTGAAACTAATGTATGAACTACACCGTATGTTTAACCTCGTATCCAAGTTTCAAGATAATGGTTTTGCATTGCTTTTAGAATTGAAGTGTCTGTATAATTATATTTTGTATGGTTTATATTACATATATAATGCTTTAAGAAGGCGCGCGTCGCTACAACAGCCGGCAGCGAGGTCGACTAGACTTGAATTTAATTCGATCAACATAAATGAAATGTGTACACACATTACAATGACGTCCGCGACGCGCCCACAAACAATTCACTTTTATTAATCTTCGCCTTTTTTATGACTAATCATGATGTCTATTGGAAGTTATATGTATATACTTGACTACCAGCGTTAGGTACTTACTTACCTACCACAAAACCACATATCGGCTAGTAGTCGTAGCAACATCTGCAGTAGTAACAGCTGTTATTATATTTACCATAACTGAAGTCGATACTAAGGACAGTATAATATTTAAATTAATAAACTAGGTTTAAATATTTATCTATTTGTAGATAATTTACTGACCTTTTACAGCAGTCAAACATAAGTATATATGTATACTTCTTGTAACTACCTGGAGGTCAGGAAGAGTAATGGCTTTACACATTATTGTATGACGTTACGTCATGTACCTGGCTGGAATAATTTTTAGTAATAATTATATCTAGATACCTGTACCTACCTAGGCAAATGCTCGTTAATTGATTCGTTAAAATAATTATTCATACACTAATAAGATTGTGATAAAGAACTACGCACTTGTGAATTAAATGAGATGATAATTAATGGTAACTAACATAATAATGCAAATGAAATGATGAGAATTATAAGTTAAAGAACTTCAAAGAATTCAATATTCTTAATAAACCTACGTAAAATATTGAACATCAATTTAAAAACACAGAATCATAAAATAATAAAAACTGTATTAAATTATTAGATGATGATAAATTGTTATGTTACATCTAATTTGTTAAGCTACTTATTTAAGTACATGTTAGTGTTAGATTACTTATTAATGTTATAATCTCTAAATATATAGATAATAATGGTGTATATACCTAGGTATATATCAGATTAAATGATGTATTTAGATATACTCGTACTTGGGAATTTTTCAAATGGAAAAATGGAATAAATTAAAACTTACGATATCGTACTAAATAGGTAGGAACGTGCTGAATACAATTTTAATTGCTAATTGAACAGTCGAATTCAGAAGGTAACAGTGTGTGAGTGACGCACACTATCACCAATAGAGGGGGGCAGGGTACACCGGCGCGGCGCCGTCGCCGCAGCTTTTCATATATAAAACACTGGGCTGCCATCTGGAGTTTCAATAGACAATTTGAACTCTAAGAACTCGGTACGCGCTACCAACACATTCGTTCGTTGTGTATGTACTACTTAAAGTTGAATGTTGTGCACCTTTGCAGGTTTGCGGCGCGAATTTTAATTTTGTCAAAAAGAAAATAATACTTACTTATAAAAATATTGTGATTAATATACAATACGGTACTCGGTCTGGCAAATAAACTATCAATAACTACGCCAACACGTTTCTGACGACGTTCTGAATTTGTAATGTTCAAAGTGAAGTGTTCAAATACGTGAATACAAGACTGTAGTCTCCACTAGACTGGCAAGGAAAAGACTTAAAACTAGTGTCAAAACGAAGACTTCAAGATGAGCTTCAATAAGAACAACCCCAATCCAATGGGGAAGATAATGGGATACCTAAAGCAGATTTCTACTGAAATGGTATGTTACCTATTTTAGGTTAGGATAACAATTAAGCCTATGTACGTCTTTACTAAGTGTTAAACTCCATTCATAAGGCTTCGTCTTTAGAAGACTTGAATTATGACAAGAGTAGGTACACATTCTTGCATAATTACCTGTTAAAGAATTCAATTTTATTTTTATTGAACTAGTCACTCTATTCGTACGCATGAATACGTGTTCCGAACTGAAGTAGTAGTGTATGTTCTGTCACGTATTTATAGTTATAAGCAAAGCACTTCGAAATCTTTCTGGAATTTTCTCAACGCTTGAAAGCTCGACAAGTCGAGACGCGATATAATGCCGCCACTGTAGTTGGTCGCCGATCGGTGGTAGGGGATCGATATTGTCGAGACTGGTTGCTTGGCAACTACTAAATACATCAGCTGTTATTTTACTACTATCTAAACAATCAATATGCCAAATGTGTTTTGTAAATAACGGTTTATTTATTCCATAAAATGTTAAGGGGAAGTAAACAAATTATAGCTTATTTATTATTTTATAGTATACACTGACCATAGGTAAACAACTGTTGCATAGAAGCTAATTTATTTGATTATTTTGTTGGATATTATAGAAATAAGTAGTAAAATAATTTGATATACCAATAATAATCTAGCGCCATCTGTCGGAAATTTCAGCAGATGTTTAAAGCTGGTAATATGATGATAATAGGTAGTTTTTGGAAACACCTATAAACGAATAAAGAAAAGTATACTCCAATATAAATTCTACAATATTGTAAATACAAATAATATCACAAATTACATTAATGTTCTCAATTCCACCGAGAAGCACGCTGAGTTACTAGATAAGTTATCAAGAGGTTGTGCTTAAATATAGCATACACTCAGACTTGCTTATGTTCGTGTTATGCATTTTTATTTAGATGGCGCTACTATTAAATTAGAGAACTATCAGGTGTAAGCTTGTTTTCTATACCAAATGAATACCTAACCTAATAATGAAAACTTTTATATGCAAAAATAATTATGCTTATACCTAAATATCGATAAAAATATCTCTTTTTTGTTTTATTATTTTACTGGATCTATACTACAGTGTTATTTGGTGTTATTATAAAAACAAACCAAAATGGGATAAGAGCAAAATAATACTAATATATATGTACTCTAGTTCAAAGGGCTTTGTTATTCATATAGGTAAGCCACCTATTTACAAAAAAATAAATTCTGCTTGTAAACAGATGCCTGCCAGCGACCCCCTCTATATTTCGGTTAATCTTGGTTGTGTATAGCGAAGCAAGGGCAACACGTCCATTACCAACAGGTTCACCCTCATGACTCGCAAATACTTAATTCAAGATTTCCCTTTTTTATGTAATTGTGCTTATTCTTATGAAAATATGATGTATCTTGACGTATATCAAATGTAGATAAATCAAAATAGTGCCATAATAATAAAATAGAAGTGAAATAGTAATTGCTTGTCTTGGTCTAGTACAAATATGTAATCCGTATGGATGAAGAAGATATTCTAAGAACTTACCTATTACGAATATATAAGGAATACATAAGGAATAGGAGACTTATAAGAGACGGATCTGAAAGTAAAAAAATTATAGCTAATATATCACCTAATTTTTAGACTTCTAGACCCATAATGCAAAGTTTGAAACTATATAGAGGCAAATTTTATACAGATATAAAAAGAATAATTGAAAATTTCAATAGGGATGAGAAAATATGTTTACGCGCAAGCGATGTCGTGGTAATTCGTAGTTTTATTGTATTTAATAAATTATTGCGACGAAAATAATAAATTAAATAGTTAAACACCGTGTTGATTGAATGTTTCGATAGGTTATTGATTTAAATTACAGTGTTTCTATGATAATCAAGCTTGGTTTCTACTAAACAGGGCAACGACCTCAAATAAGTTGCAGTGAGTCAATGAATGCAGATGGTTTAGGACCGTTCCATATGGCAGTCTATGGGGAGGCCTAAGTTCAGCAGTGGACAGTTAACAGATGAAATGATGATGATGATGATTGATTAACTTATCATTTAATTTTATTGAAACAAATTATACCACAAAAATATAAAACAAGGAATACAGTAGGCCGCCGATGATAGCGTTTATTGCCGTATATATACGTAACAAAATAACCTAAAATTATAGCATCCACCCAAAAGCATATCGGCGGATAAATGTAAGAATGCAAATACTTGCATCCTAATGTTTCCTTATTACGATCTAATAAATCATAAAAGTCGACATTCTTCAGAACACATAATATTGAATAATTAATGAGAGTGATAAAATTGCACAAACTAAAAGATATATTCATGAATATGATTATGCATCTTTATATAAAATATGTTTCAATAGACCATTGAAAATGTAAACGAGTAACTAGCCCGATTGTAAAAACGTGATAATTAATTAGATGTTTCGATTTATTCTAATTTAATTCAGAGGTTTTTTCCATGATAATTTCAAGAAAAATTGGTTAATTTTCCATCAAAGTCTATTGAAACAGACTATAATTCTCTGTCTAGGCTATTCTAAAAAGATGCAGGTGTAAAAATATATAAACATAAATCAGATTTTAAGAACCTTTTCGGTTTTATTTTGTAGAAGGAAACTTTCTAAACTAAATGATAAAGAAAACGAACGCAGAACGAAAATCTTTAAATAATATCTTCAATAATGTTTAATGACTTTAAATAGAGCACCATAAATATTTTTGATACATTGAATTTTTTTTTTTATATTATACATATAAATGGAGGACAGTAAAGTGAATTAGCCGAAACGAACAGTTTAACTAACATCTTTTTTTAATAAGAAAAAACGGCCGCATATGTTCTAAAAAAGACCTGTCCACATATACTTAGAATCATTAAAAATGACGTTTAGTGACATTAGTTTAATTGAATGTACATAAGGTTTGTACATATCAATACACTTTATTGATTTATAACCACACAGAGGATCAAATATTTAGTTCAAAAGCCAAATATAACTTTGAAAATATGATATTAAAATGAATAAAAATTATAATACTTTCAATTATGGATTATGAGAAAATAAGGTGCATTTATTAAATTATATTTAAAAGTTAATACATTCAGTACACGAACAAATTCAAAATATTCATTGGTTAAAATATAAGTCGAGCAAAGGTGTTTATACAATTATAATATGTTTTATAAACATCATTACTACTTCTGACAGATGCGCGAAGCCGCGATGGTGCGATAACGTCAAGAACATCGGATATAGGCGGTGGTACTAACTCGCAATTCATTATTTACAGTTCGCCACTTCCAGAAATCATTCACTGATATTATGGATCGTGACGAAAAGTATTTTCAAGTGTCGAAAATTCGCGACAATATGTAACGATTTCTAAGACAAAAATTGGCTCGTCGATAAGGTCAAGGTCCATAATAATAAATGATTAGGTTATCAGTAGCATGCTCTGACCTTATGATACTTTGTGATCAATAAACGATGTATGTTCTGTGTGTGACCCAAACTGCCACAGGTCACACCTCTTATCATTGCTGGTTTACGCATATTAGATAGCGGATATATAATAAATGGGGTATGTTTACGGATGGTTACTTCAGTGTCGGATATTATGTGTGCTTGAGTGACCAGTTCCTTTTGATCATTTGGTTGGTAATTGTTTACATTAAAACATATATTCAGAAACAGACTCGTGGTTAACAATTATATTAATATATGGCACTTTCATTTTCTAGGGTGGAAGTGAGCAGAATCGGCGGGGACAAGGTGACGAGGAGCGATTATATCGTTCCCGTGGACCTAAATACGCAAGAGTACCATCACGTCCTACACTTTCTACCTCAACCACTAGTACATCGCTTGCAACCTCATGTGGGTCACAAGGAACACTTGCTCCCAACTACGCAACAATTCCAGAAAACACTACAGAAAGTAGTAGCGAAGACGAACAAGATTCTTTTGAGAACACTCGTCGTCATTTTCAACAATTACGACAAATCAGCTTAGGGAACGAGTTTAAATATAAAATGGAGATGGAAATTAAAGATGAGAACTTGAGAAATTCTATCCCATTTGTGAAACAGCTCAGCACAGACAGCAATAAAGTTAAAACTGATCACACTATCAATGGCGATGTTATGTCTCATAGACATACAACACAACGATTATTCCTTTGGACACAAGTAAGTACAGTTATTATAAAATTTAAAATTAATATCATACATTAAAATTAGTCAGATAGAAATAAAAAAAACTTATTTATTCGAGCCATGTTTCTTTCGAAAATATGTTCAGTAATAGAAGTTTTTTAAAATATTGCTAATAATTTCGATTATATCTCCTATATATACATTAATATATATTTTAGCAATATAAAAGGTTTGATCCGCAGCAAAAAAACCGCTACTTCTATCGTCTCAAAAGTAATATGGCAACAATACAAGAGCAAACCTTATCGATAACAAAAAGAATTGTGAAAATCGGTACAGAATTATCGACCTGATTCGCATACCTAACATATTTGCAACATTATTGCAGTAGATTTAGTTCCACAAAAAAGGAACCAAGAACAATCGTGACAAAATCAATCTTATTGAAAGTACTTGCATTTAGATTTTCAGATTTATTTATAAATAACAGAGTTCTAAGGTACAAAAAAACAATATAACCGAATTGAAAACCTGCTCCTTTTATTGAAGTTGGTTGAAAAATTTCAAACGAGTTAACAATCTTCTTTTTTTGAAGTCGTTTAAAAATATTACTTGAATAGTATATAATTCTTAATGATATTTGCTTGATACTAAAACTTAAAAAAATAAAATTTATGTGATAAGTTTCTCGATTTTATTTTCTAATCAGAGAATGTTTCATTTAACAATCAATTCACTGTGTATACGTTTGGTCGTATACAGAATTATTTTAACTAAGTTTATATTTATGTATTTAGTAACGAATTAATTAAATAAGTTGCTCGTACTGAAGTCTTGTATCTTTTTCTTAGTATGCGCAAACAAAGTATTTCCTACGCATGTAATTTCTTTGCGTTTGTTAGCTGTAGGTATAGAACTAAAGGTATAATAAGGCTCAAGCACTCGTGTAAGTTCATAACCTTTCAGGTGCGGTTAAGTGACGGTGTGTAGAGTGAAATGTTGACATACAAACAATTGCGCCAAAAATAACTATGACAAATAGTCCTCAGGTTCTTTCAATTTTTTCAAACAGTAGGCCGTCCAGATATATGTGATTTTAATTGTTATGGTGGTTTTGTTACAGATATTGGCTACATTTGCGGTTTCTATGGGATCTCTAATAGTTGGCTTCTCCTCGGGGTATACATCTCCTGCGCTAACTAACATTAATGGAACATTAAACATTACCACTGAAGAGGTATGTTATTAAAATATTATCGATAAATATAATATTATAGTATAAAATGAGAAAACGTCATTGTCTAGTGATTTAACTATCTGAACATATATACAGTAGTAGCAACAATCGATGAAATACCTCCGATTAGCCCATCTTGGATTACAGTTATAAGTTGAATTAGAGACATAATAGACTTTAATGTAATGCGTTACTTATGACATACTAAAAAGATAAAATTTAAAAAAAAATAACTATAAATATATTTTTATTAATTTATTAATTATTATTAATGTGTTTATTAAACCAAAATGAGTCTAATTTATCGAAACAAATTTATAAGTAGTTAAAAAATCTGTACTATATATTGCATTAAATTGACTATGAAATGACATTTATCAGAACAAAATGTTAAAGATTTTTTTTTCTATTTCAGAAAAGTTGGGTAGGTGGACTAATGCCACTAGCTGCTTTAGTAGGCGGTGTATCCGGAGGCCCGCTTATTGAATACCTGGGAAGACGTATGGCTATAACAGGCACTGCTATACCATTCTTCGTAGGTTGGATGCTAATCGCCAATGCATACAACGTTCCAATGGTACTCGTCGGCCGAGCGCTAAGCGGTATCTGCGTGGGAATAGTATCTCTTGCATTTCCTGTATACCTTGGAGAAGTGCTGCAACCTGAAGTTAGAGGAGCTCTTGGATTACTGCCTACAGCTTTCGGTAACACAGGAATTTTGTTGGCATACTTCGTTGGCAGTTACTTGGACTGGTCTAAATTAGCTTTCTTTGGTGCTGCGCTACCCGTTCCATTTTTTTTATTGATGCTTTTGACCCCTGAGACACCATGTTGGTATGTTACAAAAGGACGCGTAGAGGACGCTCGTAAGGCTCTTCAATGGTTAAGGGGCAAAAACATAAATGTCGACAAAGAAATGCGAGATTTGACACGACTCCAGGCAGAATCGAATCTTATGGGTGGCAGTGTATTTAGACAACTTTTTAGTAATAGATTTAGGCCAGCTGTCCTAATATCGCTCGGATTGATGATTTTTCAACAATTTAGTGGCATTAACGCCGTAATATTTTATGCTGAAACTATTTTCCAAATGTCTGGAAGCAGCATAGACAAGAACTTATCAAGCATCATCATTGGACTTGTAAACTTCATATCAACGTTCATAGCAACAGCTCTCATAGATCGCCTGGGAAGAAAAATTCTATTGTATATTTCATCGACGGCAATGATTATCACTTTAATAATATTGGGATCTTATTGTTACCTGAAGGTTACTGGAGTGGAGTGGATCGCGACATATGGATGGTTGCCATTAGCATGTCTTGTAATATACGTACTGGGATTTTCCATTGGATTCGGTCCAATTCCATGGCTCATGCTAGGAGAAATTTTACCATCGAAAATACGTAGTACTGCTGCAGCTCTGGCCACTGGTTTAAACTGGACATGTGCATTTATTGTAACTAAAACATTCCATAGTATCAGTGAAGCTATTCACATGCATGGTACTCTGTGGATGTTTGCTGTCATATGTTTAATAGGTCTATTTTTCGTTATATTCTTTGTACCCGAAACACGTGGTAAAAGTTTGGAGGAAATTGAATTAAAACTTACCGGAGGTTCTAGGAGGATAAGAAATATAAATAGTGTAAAATCAGCTCAAAACGGCTGTTAACATTTAATATAAGAAATCATGTATAATTGTAAAAAATGTGTATATAAAATATTGATCATGATGATACGGAATGACATTAACGTTGTTTGTACCTATGTTCCAGATTTTTGTCTGTTTTGAATATAGTGTCCAATAACAGTAATTTTTGCACCAGAAACATTAAAAATGTTGTGTATTTGATAGTAAAAGGCTTTGCTAATAATAGGTGTGCAAATGTACATTCCAGAATGATGAGGCTGCGTAAATGCTGTGCTGTTTTAGTCTTATAAGAAAGGTGTGCAATTAAGTAAAACACTGATGTTCAGTGTTTGTATGCTGAAGACTGACCTGGACTGTAGCTATCCATTCTCTACTTGTAAATATAGTAAATAGTTAGAAATGTAGGCAAAACAAATGTGTAATTAATGGTTCCTTCATATAGGTACATATATATTTTTGTATTTTATTACTTCCTTCAGCAGTATAGTTACCGCCATCACAGCTATGAGGCCAATGTAAAACTCAAAAAAACAATACTGTTTAATTTCATGATACAAAATCGTAGAAGCAATTAATGTGTTTGTCTTATCCTCATATAGTGACAGCTACATCTACAGCTTGTTGTTTTAGTGCGATAATTATACCAGTTTTCGTTGGAATCTCGGATATGTCAGCAAACATTGCAGATTGTATCCATATGTATAATTTTAATGTGATCTGAATGTACTTATATAGTTGAAATTTTGTTTTGAACATGACAAATCGATACCTAGATATATTAATGACCAAATCAATATTGTTAAGAATTTTAGAATAAATTAACGCTGTGTTTTAATTAAGGATTTTATTAATGGTTAATCAATCCGTATATTACGGTGGCGATATTTATTATTTTGTTAATATTTTTATTAATATAAATTATAGAAGAAAACCTGTCTTTTATTCTTATCAATCTAATATAAATAACAAAAACAAAATGAAAACAACATTGGAAGTGGTAATGAAGATTTAGTAGAACTAAATTAAAATGTATCATCAGTTTACGTGATTTTATAAGAATTAAGTGATCAATTACTAAATATTTAAATTATGTACGTAGAGTTCATGCTTATAATTAAAACCCAACAACTATATTACCCAATTTGATAAGACCAAAACAATATAAACAATCGCAAGTAAACAATTCCCTTTAATGTATACGTGATCGATAAATTAGTACGACAGCTTTGTTCTTGAAAACACTCTTGTCTGCTTTTGTCTGTTGAGTTAATTAGAGGCAGGCAGTCATCATATTAATAACGAATAAAAACGATAAGGCCCGTTAGGTAATAATTAATTATTGCCTATAATCACATTCACAGTTTATCGAAACAATCCCCCACAAAGTCTCGTTACATAGTTGTTTCCTATTTAATATTCGGTAGAGGAGTGATGTTTATTTGTTTACTAGCTTTTATTCGCAACTTCGCCCGCATGATCAGAATATGTTCACTGAATGGTATAATAAAGAGCCTATGTCCTCCATCCCACATAAAACGTGTATATCAAATTTTATAGCATTTGGTTAAAGTACCAAAAGTTAACAGGCAAAGAAATAGAAAGGATTAAAAATAGGGGTTCAGATTTCGTTATGGGCGAAGATAGCAAGAAATTTAGCGTGCAGATTGATAGATATATTAAACATAAATTAAAACACTACACACCTTTATTAATCACCAAATAACAAGAATGACAAGGAATCACCATTTGTTTTTAACTTTCTTCTGTCTAATACCATACTTTTTACCCGACTACGACGAAGTAAAAAAGAGGGTTATCATTTTGGCCAGTATATATTCAACGTACGTTCATGTGTTCTCTCATAATTTCTAAACTACTTATTATAATTTGACAAATGAGATATCATTAAAAGCGTACCAAATGAAAGATGGAATACGACCACAACTATCCGCTGAAAGTTACTATCAATATGTATTAAATACACTAAATATATATATATATATATATATATATATATATATAATGTATGTGTATATATATATATATATATAAGTTATCTATTTAATTGCCCATTAAATATATACATTGAATAGTTTTACAAACAATTTGATTAATTTTCTACAACACGAAAATGGCAAACAAACCTACAGTCTGTCTGATGGTAAACGGTCACTGACCTATGGATAACTGTAACACTAGGAGTGTCACGTGCGCATTGCCTGCCCTAAAAAAAACCTTAATACATCTTTTTGAAGTACTCCAAACTTAAGGAAAAACCTCAGTAGAGAGCTCATTCTACAGCCTGAGTGTTTGCGTGAAAAAAATCCTCTGAAATCGCACTGTACGCAACTATTTAGGCTCTAACGTGTGAGGATGAATTCTCTATCGATAGCAAACAGTGCGATGATAAAAGATGACTGTGGGTGTTATCTAAATAACTAAATAAATATATAAATATCTAAATATCTAAATAATTCTAAGGAATGATTCTAAAATCATTCCTTAGAATATACTCCATTATACAAGCAGTAGAACACACAAAGGAGGCAAAGTCTTGCCTTAGACTGAAGAGCCTACCGCCTGTGAGTTTGGGGTCGTCAACAAATCTCATAGCCCGATTTTGAATCGAATAAAGAGAATCAAGCTAGTATCTATCTTCTCGACGCTCCGGCCCACAGATGAGAGCAGTAGTCCATGAGTGGCCGGACTTGCGACTTGTACAATAATAGTCTTTGTTTCGGGTTAAAGTACCGTTTCGCTCTATTGAGCACCCCGAACATTTTTGGACGCCAACTTGACAGTATCTACTAGATGACCCTATCTACAAAAGATGCTTTATGATTATATACAAAATACATATTTTATGTTGTAAATTATATTAAAACTCATTAAATTTCTACTTACATCATCAGACTATTATCACATTAACCATCAGTGTAGTCATTACACCTTACAAACGGCCGGTTCTAATTAGAACATATTGTACATATGGCAGACAACGATCATTACTTCGCAAATTGTTTATAAGAACACTGTTTACAATACACACATTTGCTATCATCTTGCATGCATTATTTATTGTCTAGGGAAGTAAAACCTTATGGTTTTATTTTGTGAAAGAAAAGTGCTTTATAACATGAGGTTCTTGGCACTAGGTTCTTTCTGTGTATTCCGTTAAAGACCCCTCTTGAAGATAGATAAGTAAACAAATATACATAACACGAAATTAATACAGAACAAAATTTAAAGTTGGAACAGTTATTGCCTTCTTAAAATTTGAAATTAGATTTTCACGTACAAAGATTATACAGTATTTCACTAAAAAAATTGTCAAAAAAGAAATATTTATTTCTAGGAATAATTTTTACAAAATGGAAAAAATAAAACAATCTGTATCAACGGTACTACACAATATTAGGTGTGTAGTGTGTAGTGCCGATGCGAATTAAAGAAAATAATCCGAAACCCGTAAATATTTAGTTACAATTTTTTTTGTAGTTTTTTTTATAAATTAAAATGTGTACAGAACCCTCTGTATGCGAGTCCGACTCGAATTAAGACAGTTTTTTTTTTTTATTTAAATTGAGAACTATTTTTTTTCCTGATATAATATAAATATTATATGTATATATGGTTTATAATTTAATATACATGAATAAAAAAAATGAAGGTCATTTTCAATTATTTGAAAAAGAAAACATATTTTAAGTCAATACTTGACTATAAACGACATAAATATTTATTTAATTCTTTCATTTAGGATATATAATCAATATATTCCTTCCTATATAATCAATTATAAATTATACATTTACTAAATACTAGCTAATTACAGTTACCTAGACTCTAGATGAGCGACGAAACCCACTGAGCGAACAAAACCACAGTGTACGAGTATAATGATATAAGTAAAAATGCAACTGTTGTAATAAATAAAACTATAAATATTCTTTACTATATCCAAGAGCCTGTTTAAATTTCGGATGAATCTAGATTCATAATTTCTACATGAAATTTTTAATTCTATATTTAAAATAAATGCTATATATAAAATAACTATCATTCCAGCCATTATCCGTCCACTGCTGGACATAAGCCTCCCCCATAGACTGCCATAAAGAACAGCCTTGAGTAACCTGCATCGACTGAGACCCTGCAAAGCATTTTAGGCCGTCACTCCATCTAGTGTTACCTATAATGTACCTATAGTAAATCTGGCGCCGCTGGATGGACCGTAGTACCGCCCATGTCTCAACTAAATCAAAGGCTTTCTCAAAGTCCACACACGCCAGACATAGTGGCAGTTTATACTCTTCGGTCTTCTGTATAATCTGTCGTAGCGTATGTATGTGGTCTATGGTGCTACAACCTTTTCGGAAGCCAGCAAGTGGTTGGAAATCATCGAGTATAAGCGCGCGTAAGATGATTGGTCAGGACTCTCGAAAACAGTATGTAGACGCGATTCAAAAGGGATATCGGTCTATAGTTCTTCAATCGGGTATTGTCACTCTTCTTGAAGAACAGGACCACCGCACTTCTGTTCCACGCCTCTGGCTTAAGACCGTTATAGATGACGAAATTAAATAGCTTCTGAAGGACTACAAATACCGGTTTTCCACTTGCTCTCAACTCTGCTGTAATTCCGTCCACCCCAGGTGCCTTGCCGTTTTTAAGCTGTTTGAGAGCCATTTCAATCTCCTGCAAACTGACATCCGGGATATCATCGGTATAGTGTCGGGTGACTTTAGCTTTTTAGTCGTTATTCGCATTGGTATGCGGTGTTAACGACGTTGTATACAGCTACTTATAGAACTTCTCAATCTTACACAAAATCTCAGATGTGGCGGAAATTATATCACCGATGTCATTCTTCAACTTTGTCAGTTGGCTTCGCCAATAATCAAATCTCTGACGAACACTTTGGAGCCTTGGTTCCGCTCTATTGCTTGTCCAATACATATAGTATTGAACTGGCGTATGTCACGCCGTATACATTTGGAGATTTGCCTATATTCTGACACAGACGTTGAAGACTGGGAACATAACTCACGCTGCCTCATCATAAGATCCAAAGTGAGAACAGAGAGCTTTTAGGTTCTTTTCGAGCGTTGGGACTTGCAAAATGTAGCTAATACTGTTTGAACAGTTTTCGCTAACTTCTTGTTTTCTCTTCTGTTTCACAGTACATCATAAATTAATTATGACATTTGTTTTTTATTTATAATATATTACGTCTGCAACATTTTGTTTCTATGGATACTTTATTGGTCGATCGTATACACGTGTATTCGAGACACTATTCGAGATTATTGTCCACGCATTACTAATTTTGTATTACTTGGTAAATTACACAACCAAACACTAAATGTTCTGTGAGTATAAATATGTATATCCACGAAATAAGAAATAAAGGGGAATTAAAACTACTTTAAATCATTTAAAAATTAAATCGATGGAGCACATCGTTAATGAACTAGTATTTAATAAAATCATTTTTATTTAATTATTGACTACTTTTAAACACAACAATCAAAAACCGACTTCAATCGTGGTAAAACCAATTATTTTTCGGACCCAATCCGTAAGTATATCCTTTCAAGTAGAAAATAGAATTTTTCAAATTGCAACTGATGGAATTACGAAGTAATAAATCTAAAACAATACAACCGAATTGAGAACCCCCTTCTTTTTGAAGTCAATTAAAAATAAATAGAATTTACTGTTTTAACAATATCTAAAATAATTCAGAAAGATTTTCATTAAATGGAATCGTCAACTTGATTGACATTCTAATATACATAAAACTACTTACGAATAATTAAATATTCTTTTCTTTTATTAAAAGGGTGTATAAAAATAACATGGCTTTCTTGAGGCATTTTAAAGATATTGTTTTGAATCACAGCCTCGAGGCCAATCAATTTGTGCCCATATAAATTGCTGTTAATGTAGTGAGACACACATTTCTTTAGTAGTTTATGGTGTACTCACACAACTTGCAGTCACAAACTAAGCTTGAAAGAGTGCAGTCTAGTATTGTATGAACCGTGATATAAAAACTTATCAACATGAAGATTTTAATGAGAGCAGACACACATTACAGCATTGGCGTAAGAAGTAGTGAATACGAAAAGCCAAAATATACCATTTCACAGGTGCGAGACATTTTTTTTTGTTTTTTTTTTCATTTTTAAACAGTATCAAATTAGTTTTATTACATCATATTTTTGAGATTATAAATATAATAAATACATTCATTCGCAAAACCATTCTGCCACAATCGCTGATATGATGGTTGTCAATTGAGTCCAATTAGCATGAAGAAATTCATTTACAACAGTTGTTTCGATTTCATATTCGTGTTAAGTCCTTCACTATTAGTACCTACCTACTAGTGTATCAACAGTAATAATAAAAAAATTTGCATAGACTACGCTAAATTTTAGAACATCCCATTAGAAAAATAAAATGTATATAAGTGTCAAGTCTCGCAACGCAGTTCTTTCACTACAAAAAGTTATAAGATCTCATGTCAATTATTTTCGTTAGTGTCTATGAATACACCTATTCAACAACTTTGTTACAAATAATTATTTAATAATTATTGTTCATAATTATAATAATTGTTATTCAATAATAATTATAATGACGTAACAATTGAACGGCAACATATTTTAGAAATAAGGTACTTTATTGTTAAGTACATTGTTTAGATTTACTTAATTATAGAAATAGTAGAGTAGTTGTATTAGATTATTCTTTCATAATTATGGTGCTGTGCAATTATCATTGTAACTATTATATTATAGAAATAAAGTTGTCTAATATTTATACGATCATTACGAATGTTGATAGATAGATACTCTTTATTGTTTTCTCCAAAAGATTACAATAGTAAACTCATTATAAATATTAACAATTACAAGAAATAATCACAATGAGAAAACAATGGGCGACCTTATCGCTAAAAGCGATCTCTTCCAGGCAACCTTTGGATGGAGAGGAGTAATTATAAACAGTTTGATCGGAGGCATAATGAAATTCTATTATTTCTTAATGGGTAATTGATTAGATTCTGTTCATTCCCAAAATGTCGTAAAAAGCGAAAACAAGTAAAATTCAATAAATAAAAGAAAAACATATACCAAATGAAGAAGCCAGCTTGGTAATGGTAGAAGAATTATCTTCGTTTATCGAAGAATGATTAGTTATTAATTAAAGTAAGAGGGCATTATTTCAACAAATATGTTAATTTTAGTGATACGTCATTATGTTTATGCATTTTTATTTTGTTATGGTAATTACATCATAAGATTGTGAAAAACAGAAATAGAAAATTATTGGTGCTTGAGACTTTTTATTAAATTACATTGTGAGTACAAACTAAAATACTATTTATTGCACTAAATATTCCGTTTACTTATCTTTCCGTTTAATATCGCTTGTTTAAAACAATTTACAATTGATCAGACGACACAATCAAAGAAGATGATTGCTTAAATTAATCGTAGGCGTATCGCACACACCTCCCTGCAATAACGTCATATAGAAACGACAACATGAAAACAATTGAATATAATTATGCAAAGATACATACCCAGTTTATGAATTCGCATCGATGTTTATGTAAATTCTAGGAATAGTATATTTATTTATTACTTATTGCATTTCATAATATGGTTTGTAGATATCAAAACAACTCCAATTATGGACCCTGTTAGGCACAGCAAATAGGAGAGAGGAGGACAACCTTTTTTTTATTTTTACTTTCGAGTAGAATAGTTAATGAGTTTATTAAATTATTATTCAATCATTGAGATTGTTTCAGAATAGATACGTATTTTCTGTATTACTGTAATCCATTTTTTTTAAATATTGATATGTATTTACTCATATTGTAAAAGCAATTAATAGATAGTTTAATAATGTTCCCATATTGCTGACATATTTTGTTAATTGATTAAATTCTATTACTTAGTATTATATTGTATAAATAGTATTACCAAGTTTTTTTTTTTTTTTCTATCAAAAGAAAAATAATTTATGTGATTGAACTTACGTTTGAATTTAAATTATTTTGTATAGCATTAAAACGACGTTGTTACTTTTTTGGTGTAAAAACTACTGAACTGAATTGAATGCAATTTGGTACATGGGCCGGTTATATGCTAACTTAGCAGATTAACGCGTGTAAGCCGTAGTATAAAGATAGTCTTAAATATGTGTCAAAAGAAAGAAAAACGTACAAGAAAAGTAAGTTTAATTGTAAAGAAATTTAATTTAAAAGAGATTAATTATCGTCTTTATATGCAATGTTCCGGCTCGATTTTGAATTTCTTGATATTAACATAATTTCGAAGTTACTTTGTCACAAATAAGTAAATCAATGTAACATATTACAATAATATTTAATTAAAAGAAATAAAACTAACAATAAAAAAATCTTAGACCCTATATAATGGAACGACAGGAGGTGGGTGAAATGATGAAAATACGACGTATATAACATATTGAAATACGAGTATATAATATACCAGAAAAGGTGCAAAGCAGAATGAGGTGAAAATAACAGCCAACTCTTACAAAATAAAATACAAAAGATTCCTAAATAAAAGTATAAATAGGGGTTCTTAGCGGCCAGTTATCAATACTACTCAGACTAGGTATTCGAATTTTCATTTACGGTGATACTCTATTTATAAAGATAATAACACCTCAGTATATCCATAGTATTAACCAATGGTTTTATATAAATTAGAATTGAATATACAAATATTCTTCAGGTGTTAGCCGCAGTAGCTGTTTCGATGGGTTCTATGATCATTGGTTTTTCCTCCGCTTATACATCGCCGGCTTTGGTCACTATGGAAAACAGCACTACAATATCGGTTTCAAAAGAAGAGGTAAGTTGCGTACCGTGTTAAAATATCAGAGAAATATTTGATGTTGATACATCAAATGTTTAACAGAAAGTCAATATCGTATTCCTATCTTATTTTGTAATTAAATTTATTAAAAATTCATAACAAATAATAATGATATTTAATATTGAGTGTCAACAGAAGTCAACACTACTAGTAGCCTCGCGTAAGGGTGTCTTTCTTTGGTGTTAAGAATTTGTAAACTGCCTTGTTTGTATACGAAAGCCTCTGATTTTGTTTGTTTTCAAAGGTTATTATAAAAAAAAAGTATTGTGATGGAGCATATATTTATAAACAAACGTGTGTCCATACTCTGCGAACTATGCTCAGAGTTTTTAAACGTGACACTGAAATGACAATGATACACAGAATTCGAAATGACGATATCCACAAAAGAATTAAACCATCGACATTGGCCGGATTGGCAATGAGCTGGTCCGACAACGGATGGGGGAAAAAGTTTCTTGAATTACTACCCAGTACGGGCAAACAGTGGATGCAGATGGCTTTAGAACCTTTTCCTATGGCAGTCTATGGAGAAGGCCTATGTTCAGCAGTGGACAGATAATAGCTTAGATGATGATGACGTGTGACCATATCAAATATAGTATTAAGATTTAACAATTTACTTTTGTTTTAACAGGCAAGCTGGGTGGGCAGCTTGATGCCCCTTGCGGCACTCGTAGGCGGTGTCGTTGGTGGACCCCTCGTCGATTATATTGGTAGGCGTAGGACAATTTTATTTACTGCACCGCCTTTTTTTATAGGATGGATTCTTATAGCTACTGCAAAAATTGTACATTTAATATTGGCCGGTCGTGTCATATGCGGTCTATGTGTTGGTATTGGATCTTTAGCTTTTCCTGTATATCTTGGTGAAACTATACAACCAGAAGTAAGAGGAACTTTGGGACTTTTTCCTACAGCTATCGGTAATATAGGTATTTTGATATGTTATCTTGCTGGTAAATATCTTGACTGGTCCCAACTTGCCTATCTGGGCGCCGCATTACCTGTACCATTCTTCCTACTAATGTTCACAATCCCAGAGACTCCACAGTGGTATATATCTCGAGGTCGAAATGAAGATGCCCGTAATGCCTTACAATGGCTTCGTGGAAAAAATACTAAAATTGAAAACGAAATGCACAACATAGCTTTAATGAATGCAGAGACTGAAGCCAGTGAGTCAAATATAAAAGACCTTTTTAGCATGAAGTATATGAAATCAATTTTAATTTGTTTAGGCTTGATGACTTTCCAACAATTATCTGGAATAAATGCTGTCATATTTTATACTGTATCAATTTTTAAGATGTCTGGAAGTGCAGTAGATGAGAATTTATCAACAATTATAGTTGGAATAGTCAATTTTGCATCCACATTTGTTGCTACAGCACTCATTGACAGAGCAGGTAGGAAAATGTTATTATATATATCATCCATAACTATGACTATTACTTTGGTTGTATTAGGAACATTTTTTTATGTACAAAATAACATGAAATTAGATGTCTCATCTTTAGGTTGGTTGCCACTAACAAGTTTAATGACTTATTTGTTAGGTTTTTCATTAGCATTTGGTCCAATACCATGGCTTATGATGGGAGAAATATTACCAGCAAAAATAAGAGGAGCTGCTGCATCTATATGTACTGCATTTAACTGGTTATGTACTTTTACAGTTACAAAAACATTTCAAAACATTATTGATGGAATTGGTCCAGCTGGTACATTTTGGCTTTTTGGTTGTATTTGTTTTACTGGTTTATTTTTTGTCATAGTGTGTGTACCAGAAACTCGTGGTAAGAGTCTTGAACAGATAGAAAACAAAATGTTAGGTAGACCAAGCACCAGAACTCGTAGGATGAGTTCTATAGCAAACATCAAACCACTGCCAAGTGGTTGTTAATTTAAACATATTTTTTAAAATTACAATCTCCTACACATAGAACTGATAAATATTCTCGAATAATGAAGTATGTAACATAAGATAAACATGCAATAAACCTCCTAAAATAAGACATGAGTATGTATAAAAAAAATAATGATAAATTAGTAGTTGTAGGTTTAAATATGTAATAATTGTAAATATGTATATAATTTATTATTCAATGACATTATATTATGAAGTAATCTTAAGTTTATAAATTATTAAATAAAAATTTATTTCATTATAGTTTTTAATTGTAATTATTTTATCATGAAAAATGACAACTTTGAAAGAACACATTTTAAAATTCAAAAAAAAAACAAAAATCATTTATTCATTAGGACATTTTATCAGATATTTTTACATTATAATTTTATATAGATGGTATATAGACAATTGAGAAGAACTGGCAAGAAACTCAATGTACTTTTTTTTTTTTTGTTTATTTAGGTAATTATGTCTAACATTAAAAAATGCATGAGCTTAAAATGAATAATTACAATATACTGTAGGTAGACTCAAAATTGAAGAGAGAGAATGAAATGTATCAATCATCATATGTATAACCCATCAAATCTATATTCCCTGTTATATTAATAGTTTTTATAGAAATAATTGGTTAAATAAAATACACAACATACTATACCTATATGGGCATTTCTTTATGCACAATTTGTCAAAGGAGAGACTAAACATGGAAAATAGAGTCCAATTTACATGAGCACTTCTTTATTCCTACGTTAAAAAAAAATCCAAACCATATTTGGTAGTTAAAATAGATATTGGACACAGATATAATATTATACAATTTCAAAGACATATCAATGTTGATTACTAAATTCTTATACTAAATATAAAAACAAATTTATTTTGTTTATATGGGTACTGTTCAATTAAAAACATTCAATGAAAGATATTATTTAATTTACTGTTTCAAGTCAAGGAATGAAATTGTTAAATACAGTCCTACCTATGAGGGATGATATATGAACAGAAGTTTCTTTTGAGTTTCTTCATGAAGGACTGTCCTACAGTCAGTCCTTTATGACAAACTCATAAGGAATCATGGTCAAAGGATACCCTTAGTAATAGTTATTATATGATAGTTTTGAGATGTAGAGGTTAATTTTGCTTGCAATGGGGCCACTTGTCTCGTTACTAAATAATTCTTCCCTTGAGAGATGACAATATTGCCATAGGTAAGTAGATGTAGCAATTATTAAGTGCGTTTTGACTTTTGTTCATACAAATAGGCTTAGAATATTAGGGCATATCTAACGATTTAAATTTTTATTTTAGTTAGACTGAAATAGTTACGTAATTTACTCGTTAATGTATATAGTTTTGTACCTTAGGAGTTTTACTACTTTATATATTTCTATAAGATAATTAGCAAGTTTATAAGCACTTACCCATAACTTGAACTCGGCAAATAGCGCAAGTATCGCATTCAACATCCCAGCTCCACATAGCCACAGCATTCCATTTTTTTAATGTAAACATTTTATCTGATTTCTGGCCATCATTATCACCACGATCCACATCACAATCTTCTCCAGACATTTTTATTAAATTAAAAAAAAGCTCAAAACAAACACAAAAATATTTTTAAAGTGTTTTTGTTTGACAATGACAAACGACTATTTTGAATTGAAGTTGTCATTAATGACAGCAATAAAAATTATTTGACATTGACAGCCTGACAATTGCTATAAGTATTGCCAGATTCAGTTAGTATAAAACATATGGTATAAAATATCTACCAACGGTTTATGTCAAGTTAACTTACATATCTACCTATGATTCCATAAAACGAATTTAGTACGAAGGGTGCAAAGGTTACACATTTAGTCTTGAGAGGATAACGAAAAATCAATGTGATTATCCACCCGCATAATTGATTTCATAATTTTAGTTCATTACTGATTGCAATATAAAGTATGTTATTAGAATACTTTTATATAGGTTTTAATGTTAATATAGTTATTGCAATTAAGAATTATTTTCTTTACGGGGTGGGTATCATACTCTGGTTTTGTTCTCAGATAAACATCGTAGCTTTACCGTACATATACAATTCAATGCTTCAATATCATCTTTTTGTCATTTCATTCAGTAACTATCCACTACTGAACATAATACTTTGATATAACCAGAGCCAAACTAATAACATTGAAGGGACTGTAGCACCGCCAATGTCTTGATCAAATCAAAGGCTTTCTTACTGACTATAAACACCAAAAATTGTACATACATAAATTAAAAAGTACTATATCGAAATATAAATATGAAAATATATATAATATGGGTAAAAATATTCAACTTAGTACTTAATTATAATTTATTAATTGCACAGTAGATGCAAATCTCTGCGCAGTTTACATTCGAGTATTAAAGGCGTTGACTATCGATAAAAGGTAACTGATTTTGAATGCGGTCAACTAAATCTTATTGTTTTATAATGGTAGAACTGTATTATAAACAAAATCATTAAAATTAAATTTATACAATTTTTTGTCATTTCATTCAGAAACTATCCACTACTTTATGAACATAATACTTTGATATAATAGATTGAACTAATACAAAAGGACTTAAGCATCATAATGTCTTATCAAATTGGTATTCTTCTGACTATAAACACAAAAATTGTATATACATAAATTAAAAAGTATTATATTGAAATATAAATATGAAAATATATATGATATGGGTAAAAATATTCAACTTAGTACTTAATTATAATTTATTAATTGTAAAAAATCCACAGCAGTTTACATTCCTATTAAATTCTACATAAAAGGTAACTGATTTTAGTAATACAACTAAATCTTATTGTTTTATAATGGCTACCCTGTATTAAAACAAAATCATTAAAATTAAATTTATACAATTATAAGCGGAACTGTACACAAACTTTTTACATGACACCTTTATAGACTAAATTGTAAGGTATTATACATAAATTGATTTAGATACAAAAAGGTTAAATTTCATAATGCTATCGTTGGTATTGTCATTAAGAACACAAAAATTCTATAGACCTATAGTATTAATAAATGACTATAATTATATAATATAGACATTCCTGTGTACGCAAATTATCACTAAAATGATCTAAAGATATTAAATATTTGAATGAATAGTACAAAAATCAAACTCGCTGCAATACTAGTGCCGCTGCTAAAGCAGCCGAGTTGTTCCGTTTGTATCTGGAATTTCAAGTTAAATGGGAATCTGCATACATTGTTGTCTGTAAATAAATAAAAATAATTATTAACCTCTTATAAGTTTACATAACTATAATAAGTATGTTTGTATATTATATATAGTATATAATTAGTGCAGGTGGAGTTACCATTCCATCGTCACCAATTAAAAAAGCCAGTCAAGTGCGAGTCGCGCAACGAGGGTGACGTTACAAAATCTTTAAGCAAAGTGATCCTATAAGAGTTCTGTTTTTTCCTTTGGAGTTACGGAACCCCAAAAAACCCCTATTGGTAAAGTCTATTAACACATTTAGTTTAGCCAAGTTAAATAAATTATATATAAATAAAAGTATAGGAACCTTTATTTATAAATAATTAATTATCACACGTAATTATCAGTGTCATGTCCGGTAATCTAATAATTTAAGTATCATTGGACTTACATTAAAAATATGTATTTTTGATTATTAATCTACATTTGGTAAGACTGATTAATAATGTAGAGAAATATCTACTATGAATTGATTTCACAAAGGTGGTGAGCTTTACATAGCAATAATAGAAATGAAGATTAGATTAACTAGATTAAAATTATAGTTGAGCAAATCTCAATCAGGTCATCTTAGGAAACTAATTTTCGCAATTGGATGATAAAAATCTAAAACAAGGTTATGGGCCCAGTTACTCGTTATCTAATTTCTCGTAGAATAGAATTACCTTTTTTGTACCTAGATTACCCTTATATATAATGGATATAATTTATGTAGGTACTAATATTTATTATTTAAAAATCTAGGATGAAATTAAATTTGGTGACGATACAGCCGTCAGCTGTCCACTGTTTAACATAGGTCTTCTCCTTTGGGGTTTTGCCAGTAGTTATCACCATTGGCAGGCGGATTGGCAACCGCAGCTAAGGTCTGGTGCTGTTTTAGGAGGTGCGCTTGACCATTAAGTTCTCTAATCACCTCTTACAACACCCACGGGAAAGGAAGGGATGGATCTATATTGAAACCATACAGTCAATTTTATTTATACAAAAATACTTACTTGAACATAAAGGATTTGCGATGGAAGCAGCTGTGGACTGCACGGAAATGTAAAATAATGGACACGATCCAATTGTTGAGTACCCGTCACACGCATCCTTTAGACTTATTTCCACATTACCATTAGTGACGAGGTCTTCACATGTTATTAAACTATCATCAGTACCCGCAACTGTAGCATTCCGCCTAAAAAATAATAATGAGTTAAAAATTTCGGTTATTGTAAGAAAAGTATGGAATATAATACCATAGACGACTCAGTATACTATGAATACTATGGTACTGTTCATATTATTATCTATACGAATGGTTACCACTTTCTGTTAGATAGGTCGTCAATTCATCAGTCGTCAGTATTAGATAGGTTGTTCTATTTGCATAAAAAAAAGATACTTTGTGATACTGAGAAAAAATGAACAAAGTGAGTGATGTAGAAATATTTAAAGAGGAAGATTTTGTACAAAAGTCGATTGCTTAGGTACCTCTGTCCCATTCGTGTTTCTACCGTGAAGCAGTTGTGTTTACATGGCTGTGTTTCGGTTTGAAGGGTGGGATATGGCGTGAATTTACAGGGTACAGAGGAATATCACCTGAGTCCTCAGGAATGGCAACGCATGGGTGGTATCATGGGCGAAACAGTATACTCTGTTATGTCCATGGTACTGCTCATGTCTATAGGCGACGATTACCACTTTCCATCAGGTGGGCCGTTAGCTTGTTTGTCATTCTAAGTTGTATACAAAAAAAAAAGATCAAGGTCATTGGCATTAATTAACCAAACGCATTGCTTACCTTGGCTGAGCCACGACACGAGAATAGCATACAGTGAGAGTTCCTGAACCAGTGTTGCTAATTACTCTGATTTTGCTGTCGTCATTATTGTCATAAAAATAATTAGGGCTTATTGAGTAAAAGTTAATATAACCGGGTTCAATATATTGGTCTAACATTCTTGAACCACTAGATTCATCTTTATACTCGAAGCCACAAAGTGGATTAATAATTCTTCTACTGACTGAAAATAAGAGTAATTAAATAACAATATTATTAACTAAACACATGAATAGTGTCCTCTTGTAGGCTTTTATTCCAAAATTTAAGTTAGTAAGTTTATTTTGTAGTTACGGAAAATTTGTAAAATAAAAAATAAATCGATTGTGTGGCCATCTATTTGTTAGGTAGTCTATTACGATGTGCACTTAGGTACTCTATAGCGTATTACTGATGCTCAAAGCGTTGTTTAACTTCTCCATAAACCAAATTAATGAATACCTATAGATTTTGCTATTTTTAATCATTGACTTTCATTATTATTAATTTATTTATTTGGTGTATATAAGCAAATTGATATTTTTCAGAAAAATAGAAATTTACTCGTATCAAAAAAGATTTCTATAAAGTCAAATACTTTTAACGTTTGTTATAGATGATAAGGTTATCATTATTATTTTAGTCTTTTATTATCCACTACTAATCATATTTTTTTAGGTTATTCCGCGAAGTATCGTTAGTATCATATAAATACCTTGTCGAATATTATCCAGCACAGGAGTTAATGTATTTTCCACATTCGTTCCAGATGACGATAAAGATATTACGTGGATGTCACTGTACATATCTCGCACCAAGTTCCACAAGTTGTCGAATTGATTGTTTGCGGTCGCGTAGATAACCCTCAGATCTTATGGTGAAAAAAAAAAAAATACATTTGAATTGTTTTTTAAAGACTTACTGTTGGTATTATGTATGCAATAAACTTATTAATATGACATACATCCATTTTATTCCACAAACATACCTTAATTTTGATAAATTTAGTATGGGAGAAAATACAATTAATCGAAAATAAAATCCTCAAAGTCAGTGCTGGCAAGCATATCACGTAACACAAAAAAATACGTTAAATTGAAAACCAACTCCTTTTTGAAGTCACTTAAAAATAATTAAAGCTAGTTATACAGAAAACAACTATATTTTATGACAATCCCAGGTAATATGGCTATGTTCTGTATAACAAGCTCCATTTAAATTTGTTTTACAAATTATTAGGAAAATGTATACTTTTATATGTTTTTGTTCTAAAATTGAACTTTTAGGTATTGTGTATATATTAGGAACTATGGGCCATCTGATTCCAAACCGAAGCCAAGCTACTACGAGTATGTATAGTTACTAACTGATATTTTTTTTATAAATACAGAGGCTAAAAGTTATAATATCCATGTGACAAATTTCACAATGACCGTTTTTGTGAAATAAGTTGTATACTCACCTGGAACAGTTTCATTTATAATTCGTGCTTGTTCACGAACACCATCATTGATTTCAAGATTTCCTGAGTTCAGAAGAAACAAAAGGACGGTCGGATTTCCACCTACATAATTGAGACGAGACTCGTCTAGTAATGTGGCTTGCATCATGTTCTTTATATTCGTATAAGTGTTCTCCAAATTCACTCCTGACAGCACTGTTGAAAAATAATAATTTTATGGATAATATTGGTGTTTTTTATTTATATCTCTTAATCGTTTTTTTATAAGTAGCTGACCCGATACATGTATTTTTGCCTCCTACTGCCACTTACTGACATCATTTCTGTCTACTTAACAGGGCGAACAATAAATAACTACTTATATACAAAATTTCATTAAAATTGGTTAAATCCAAGATTAGTGTGAACGAACACTGTGACACGGAATTGACCTAACGAAATTAAACGAACAAAAGAAAGCAGAAAGAAAGATACCTTATTTTCTTTTGCTTTTATTATTTTTATATAAAATATACGACAGCACCCACACAAGGGTTAAAAAAATTAAGTAAATACGTAGTAAAAAATGCATATTATAACAGTTTCAACTAGAATAAGTGTGTGTGCGTGCGTCGCAATATTTATCGAAATGAGGTCCATGCTCAGCATTTTGCTGTAGTGTCAAGGACACTACAGTGCTGATTTCCAGCACGAACCTCGGCAATCCACGAGGTCCTAATAATAAGAATAAGATAGATAACTTATAATACAGAGGTATGCTTAAAGTGTATTGTGTATTAACTATACAAAAATAAAATAAATATAATAAATTTGTGATAGATACATATTAAATTATAAATCATGGCTTTGTCAGTGAAAGGGATTCTATCTACATATAAAGAATAAGAATAATAACAAACTCGCTGTCCATGGTTTTCTACAGTTGAAGACTTAATTTATTTCTATGCCATGCAATGCATCTTGCCCTTAAACCAAAATATAACAATCCATGTATTATTATAAAAAGCATAGAAAGATAATATCTATTAAAACAAACAAAACATATAAAAAAACCCTATTACCATATAATTTTATAGAAATTTTGTTTAATAATAAACCAAACAAAGTGAGTTCATAGCTAAAAAAGTTTGTTTTGAACATTGGTACACCGGAAATTGAATCAGGGATTTAATTTACGCAAAGCAACTTACATCCAACTGCGATATATAGATAATCGTGTATTTTACACACGTAATTAAAATATTATATAAAATATAACTTCAATTTGTCGATCACAATTTTATACCTTGACATCACTCTGGGAATGTAATGTAATATGCCATTTATGGTTAATTATATGTGATAAAATTAAGAAAAAAAAAATACTTACTTGACTGATGTGTTGCCAGTGTATAATTTGTATGGAATTCAGACAAAGAAAATGTTTTATTGATTACTACACTGCCATCATATGCACTTAATAAAGTCACGCTGGAACCATATTTGCCGACTTCAATTGATTCCAAAATATAAGTGATCGCTGGGTAAATAGTTTGATATGGCCATGTTGTATCCAAAACAATATATAAATTGGTGATAGTTCTATAATCGATGCCGAGTTCAGAACTAATACAATCTAGGTCATTTAAATTACTCTCTGAAAATAATAAATATATACATACTGATTACTAAATTAGAGTTTTTTTTAAGTAACTATGTATTATTTCAAACATTTTTGTTTATTTTACAAATTAGGACAATTATATTTTCTTTTATTCCATTGGCAATGGCAAACAAGCAAGCACTGCATTAAAAACCGTAACTGTTTCTTATAAATATGAATAAACAGAATGAAAATTGACAGTTTCTCTTCAACATCATATCATATCAACCTTTAACTGTCCACTACTGAACATAGGCCTCCACTGTAAGGAGATTTTGCCACCACGTTTGACAGGCGAGTTGGCAATCGCAGTTTGGCTCTTGGTGATGTTTTAAGAGAGACGCTGCTACCCATCTCTCAACCATTAAATTCCCTTAGTCGCCTTTTACGACCCCCACGGAAAAGGAAGGAGTGGCTTATTCTACGTCGGGACCACGGGCATAATTTTTACTAGTGTGGGTATTATTTTGAAATTCTATTTACCTATTATTATTTGCATATTCATTCACTACAAGAGGTAATCAGACTACTACTAATTAAGTACTGATATTTATTTTTCGGCCACCACACCCATAATATCCACATCACAACATATACACTTCGTGCTTTGGTAGGTCTGTGTGTTGTAACCTTCTCTTTCGAATATAGTATACCCAGCAATATAGCGTATCGTAAATCAAAATATAGAGAGCTCTCTATATTTTAATTTAGGATACGATCTACCTTTGTACCCTTTGAAGTTCATCTTTCTTTTTTTATAGCTAATAATGGAATGGTAATCCCGCCTGCGTTATTGGTATACATTAGCGGGGTACCAGCGAGGAATGACAAATGAGGATGAAAGCAGTTCAGTTGGCCCATCGTGGCAATTCAAAAATTAATCATGATGATTTCTAGGAGGAACCGGGCGGAGATCAATTTTATGGGGCATATTATTAATGCCCATTACTAACAATACCTTTCTTCCCTCATTCAAGTGATTCTAATCACTTATTACTCACAGATACTCTGATAAGTTGATCAATGAGCATTTGCTAGCAGAACTGTAAATATCTGGTCCGGATCAAAAACTGTCTTAACCAACTGAATGTAGATAATACTACTTACGTGTATAAGTTTGGAAATTGGCAACAGCATTAGATACAAGTTGATTTAAACCAGTCAATAAAGTTCCTTGTAGAGGCATATTCGCGTTTAAAGCAGCGGCGAAAGCTTCACTCTGAGCCACTAATTCATTATCATTTAGTATAGTTTTGCTTATTTCCCGACGATTACATGCACGCACTGAAGAGTCAAAAACTCCATTCTGGAATTATATTGACATGTAACTATATCGTAGGTCTAAATCTATTACAAATACTTGAACCAGAGGTCTCTAAACTGAACCAAATGGGTCAGTTATGGATACACAAACCTGCAGTCGTTTGTATTTACCTAATATCGATTTTTTACATATTGACATGGAAAAACATCAATGGTTAACATTATATACGAGGTCTGTCCGGAAAGTTCGTATAAAAGTGTTCTGGAATGCGAGAAAGAGGAGTGGGGAGGCCAGGTAAGCGCAGGACCCCTTCCTTATGTCCCTAACAATGCTTCAGTTCTGGTCTGACCGCCGTGCGGTGCGAACTGGCTTGTCACGCCATCTGTGAAGTTACCTCTTAACGAAACCCCGTCGGCATGGAGCCCGCTTCCGTTGAAGAGCAGCGCGTCGTAATCAAGTTTCTCTCGAAACTCGGCAAGAATGGCCGTGAAATTTTTGCCGATCTCAGAACAGTTTATGGGGATGATGCTGTGAAGGAACCAACCGTCCACAAGTGGCTAAAAAGATTCAGAGAGGGCCGAGACAATGTTGATTGTTTTTTTCGATGTTCGGGGGATTGTCCATCAAGAATTCGTCCCTCCAGGCCAGACAGTTGATGGAAAATTCTACGTCGATGTGCTCAGACGCCTCAAAGCTCGTGTGGCACGAGTTCGTCCAGAATTGGCGCGAGAGGGGCGTTGGATTCTTCACCACGACAATGCCCCTGCCCACACCTCTCTTGTTGTCCGTGAGTTTTTGAGTAAAAATTCCATTACGGTGACCGAACACCCCCTATTCGCCGGATTTGGCCCCGTGTGACTTCTTCTTGTTCCCAAAAACCAAATTGGTACTTCGGGGGCGGCATTTGGGGGACATAAATGAGATAAAAAAATACGACGGGGCAGCTGAGAAACCTACAACCAGAGGACTTTCAAGGAGCCTTCTCACAGTGGAAACGGCGTTGGCACAAGTGCATTATGTCACAGGGGGAGTACTTTGAAGGGGATAAAATTGATTTACCTGAATAATTGTAAAATAAAATTTTTAAAAACTTTTATACGTACTTTCCGGACAAACCTCGTATCTATACTAATGTTATAAAATGGAAAGATTTGATTCTAATTGATAATTTAAGAACTACTTGACAGTTTTTAATAATTCTTTCACCTATAGAAAACTACATTATCAGCATGTAACATAAGCTATATATTATTTTAGAAAAGTCTAAATACCCGTCTGCACCCGGGTCGAATCACTAGTATTCTATATGGAGGATAGAGGTAACTATCACCAATATAAGAGAACTCTCTCATATGGGTGAACAGTAGCAAGTATCCAACTGTAACCTGTGTATAATAAATAGTTCCAAATCCCTGCAGAGTGGCGCTAGAGAAGTAAGAGGGTCTGAAATAAATTTAGAATGTTATTGGTTCAGTGAAATGAGCTGAGTTGAAACTTTTAATATCTTTATTTACTGTTTAAGGCATAATTAAATGTTATATGTCATCGTTCGTTTGTCATCTATTATAGGTTTTTATTTTGGTAAGGGCGCCATTAAAAAGTGGAAGTTCACTTCCTTTAAAATTCACCCGCCTACTTCTGTAGTGCCAATAAATAAACGCCTTTTGGCGGACACTTTTTTATAAACAGAGATGGGTCTGCTTACCTCCACCCTTCATAATATTCTAAAATTTAAACTTGAATGCATTAATGCAACTTGATCTTACCCGTGGATTATAGTACATATCAAGCAATTGCGACAGTTTCAACGTGCCGTAGGTTTGCAAAATGTTATTCATACGATTCCCGAGGATGAAGCCGTCTATCCCTCCCCTTATCTCTGGGTCAGTCATTTCGACATTGTTACGACTGCTCAACATGTAATATCTAGAAGCATAAGAGCTGTTCCAATTTCCTGTACTACCTATGTTGATTGTGTTACTTCCCTTAGTACCTTGTACGAGAACAGCTTCCGCCAAATCACCTGCAATAACAGCATGATCCATGTTAGAAGTCTTCGAGTATAAACTAATATGGTCAAGGGGAAGAGCTTGTTAGTAATGAGGTCTACCGACCATATGAGTATTACTAACGGTATAAGTCGCGGTCCTCACTGGGGATGATTCTAAGATGCCACTTCTCTTATCTATTCATTTTAGTCGTTAATTGTCCACTACTGAACATAAGTTTTCCCCATAAGGATAGTTTTATTAGTAGTTGCCACGCTTGATAGATGGGTTGGTAACTGCTGTTAAGCTTTTACGATGTTTTAAGAGAATGCGCTGCATGCGCTTGCGTGCTTGTCGATTACTATTGGCACCGCCAGTTTGCACTGCTCAGTTTGCTCCCACTTATCAGGCTATTTCTCTGCTCAATGATCTGATTGCTCAGCAGCCAAATATTGATATATTTAATGACAAAATAGATATATTTTTAAAATGTTGTACAAAATTTTTAAGTTTGTAAAATAAACCTATGGCTCACTACACGTTTTGGAAGATTGTGTGGTGAGTAATTTATAAATAAATAAATAAAAAGAGGAACACTGCTGCCCATTCCTCTACCATTAAGTTCCTTTAGTCGCCTCTTACGAAACCCACAAGAAAAAAAAGGGTGATCTATTTTATACCGGGACCACATGGCTATCTTATCTATTAACCTAATATTCCAATTAGCTAGTTTCCCGAAATAATTATTTGGATATGTGGATCGTAATAAAATTTGTAATAATTTAGACTTAAAACTATAAAAATAAAATTTATATTGGTCTTTAGAATAGAGATTTTGCATAAAATTAAAATATTAATTTCAGATATAAGTTTAGAAAAATATTGCCTTAGAATTGACTATTTAATTTAATTTTCATTTAAGTATTAAAAAATAATTGTTTTTTTTTGTAATAAAATATTCTGTCTTTCACTCTCTCTCTTTCTAAATTTATGCCTCAGAGAAGATTAGGTTGAGAAGATATAATATTAACATACCTGATAACGTAGCTGGGTAGAGATTAATAACTGATTGTTGACCATTAGCGACCTCATTAACTAAGCCTCTAGAAAGTTCTGTGACAGTGGTTTGCTGCAACTGTGCACCCGCCGCTATGCCCGCAATCAGATTGCCTGCAGATACTGCACCCCATTTAGTATTTATAACTCCGCCTAATATTGGACATGTACTCGCGCCTAGTAATTGACGCTCGTACTTACTCCCACCAAAGCCATTAATTTCAACATCGCTGTTAGGGTCATATTGTCTCATTTGTCCACTGTGCGAGTTTCTGAAAAAGTAAGTTTAGAAATATAAAAAAAAAATGATGTATATAATGTGAATATATATGTACATATTCGTATGTATATAATTATCGGTTAAGCTGTAACAAGCTTACTTTCATGTTTTAATTTTACATTCGTACTAATAAGTACCAAAATATGTAAAATTACAAGAATATTGATTCAGTAATGGGACTTGCATGTTGGTAGGTCAGTCTGTAATTAATTCTCTATTTATATTGCATTTTCAATTAGCAGTAGAATTAAATAAAGCTCACGATCTAAAATAGTATAGGTATTTCATAGACTCATTATCCCACAGAATATATTACTGTAAGTATAATAATTTCGATGGATGTAACTTTATTCTTAACTGCAAATGGTATTATGAACTTTTATGCGATTAAAAATCATAATTTACCTTTTTACTTTTTTTTCGCCGTACTTGGGTAAAAATTGGAAATCATTCAACTGTTTATTGTATATTACTGTTGATCGAAGTTCTAGTTTTATTTTAGGTGTAAGTCCTATGTAGGCGATACTTACAACATCTATTTTTGGTACAAATAAGGACGAATACTCACATTCCTGTCGGGGAGAAAAGTTCAACGTCTTCTTTTACATTGTTCTCTGCAGAGGGTGCTGAGCGTGCAGTTCTCATTGCACGATACTGAGACAGTTGTCCGCAAGTATTCTCATCGCCTCTTACTCGAGAATCCACGGTCGTTGACAACATGTGATGCAGAGCGCACTGTAATATATTTTGTTTTTATTTTTATTTATGATATGATATATGACAGAATTTATGATAATAATGATGATTACCTTCAAAGGCGATGAAATAGTGTTGTTGTCCAGTGATTGCCGATTGCTTGGAATAAGCTTCGTAAGCAGCAACTTATGACGATAGAAAGAATGGAAAGTTGGTGCAAACGGTAATACAATGGATGACTGGCTCAGACCCATCTCCGGTTGATGATACTCTATCCCATCTTGTCGATACCTAGAGCAATAAATTCAGATTTACTAGAACACCAACAAAAAATTCACATACTGAGAATTAAAAAGATTATCATTTTCCATCAAGTATATGATATAGGATATGCTTGCAGCTTGCTTGCAAATTGTATATAAAAATATTTTAATAACGTAATATCCAATATCCTTTTTTTTTATATTTTTAACTTAATACAAATAGTTAATAATATGTATTTACATAACTGGGTTGCTAATTTTTTTAATTTAGTAAAATATGGATATAATAATATTAAATGCATCTCACGTGTGAAGAAGTAAAACTGCAAGTACTCGTAGGTCAACGTTGACATTAGGATTGTCTTCTATTCTTTGTATGATGTCAATAAGAACTTGTATCGTAACTGGCGGCAGGTTGTTTCTATTCAGCAGCTCAGGGTCTGTATAACACTCTCTCAAATCTGGTGCTACGTTAGCTTCGGCCGTCATCTGCGCATGCGCAGTGTCCATTATGGCCAATAAGGCCAACGCAATCCAATACATGATGATCTCTAAAATTTAGTTAAATAAAAAAAAATGAGTTTCTATATTCAATCCTTGTTTGTTTCTTTTTGCTGATATAGCGGTATATGAGTAATAATAATGATTACTATTATCCATTGTTCTAACTAGATATGATTACCGAGAATCGAAAATAGTCGATAATGATAAATATTCTATATTGATAGCAGTGACTGAAAGTATATGGAATTTATGAATAATATACCTTATGTTATCTTATTTGTACTAAGGAGTGGCGGAAAGAATTGTGAAATTTCAGGATGTAAGTGTTAAAACAATAATTATTTGTCATTGATGCAGTCATCATAACTCGCCTATTGTATGTACGCCAACTCCGAGGACCCTTGACATCTCCCCTAGATAATTTGATAGATAGGCAGAGTGAAACATAAGCGGTAATCCCGCTTATGTTTTACTCTGCCTAGATTTCCCAGAGGAGGACGAGAGAGAATTGTTAGTAACACAGAATAGCAGACTTATTGCTAGCTATAAGTAATACCTTTAAGTTAAGTCAATTTTCAAGCGACGTCTCATGGAAACTATCGCAGGCTAATTTTGGACAAATTTATTACGATGGGTCAATTAACCTGCTTACATGCTTACTTATCATCCCTCACCGGATACCATTTCAATATCATCCATTAAAAAAACAACATTTATTTTAGAATTGTTTTTTTTTTTTAATTTGTTATGTTTGCACATACCCCAATTCAACTACTGCAGCATACCTTTCTCATTTTTAAACTAATACATTCTTTCAAACTTGCACTATATAGTGGTATTACAAATATGATCTCTCTAATTTAGTCCTCGAAGTATACGTATTTTGAATGCGTTGACACTTCTTTTCTGAGCTTCTTTCGTTATATAGTATACTCACGCATGAAGTTATTGTTAACATGCTAGGCGTTTTTGTCCATTGTTTTACTTCATATTCTTTTGCATTTTAGCATGTTGGCATTTTTTACTCTGGTTTATAGTATACCATATATATATATATATATATATATATATATATATATATATATATATATATATATATATATATATATATATGGTATATACCATGCTACTACAATACTACAAGCGTCATATACAATGCATATGCATTGTATATAACGCTTAGTTTTCCTGGTCGTTTATTATTTATGACAAATTAGCTGTTACCCGTGGCTTTCCCCGCTTGAAGTATAACAAAGTAATGCATTTATCTGTTAAGTCCATTTTATACAAAGATTGATAAAATAACAAATATCTAAACATCATTACAAACTTTCACATTTATAATATTAATAAGTACCTATATAAATTACTTGATCTTGTCTGTTAACCTACCATAAAAGGTAACTGCCATTGCCAGTTAACTTTGTATTTAGATACCAACTTGTAGTACATTTGCATGGGTCTTGGTACTGGTTAATTGATTAGAATTATTTTGTTTAATTCTACTATCATTAGAATGTTTGTACGTAACAAATAGTAGCGAAATTAAACAAAACAATTCTAATCAACTAACCAGTGATATGGACCTCCACAAAATAACACTCAAAATATCGGATTTTAGTAATTTGCCAATAACGAGCGCCTACCTCATACCGCGATTAGTAAATTCTCTACCTACCGACTTGCTAAACAATATCACTGTTAAAAACATAAAGTTTAAACTGAAAGCTTATTTACTGTCCAACCTTTCTAAAACAGCAGAATATTAATGTAAAAATTGACATTTGAGAACGAAATGTAAAGTATTATACACAAGCCCAAGAGGTTTAAGTGGTACTAAAAAATCCAGTTTTTTTTAATGTATTTATGCATGCTAATTAAATAAAAAAAAAAGAAAATATTCCCATCTCATTGATAGTGATAACTTATTTTATCTACTTAACCACAATAACTAGTTTTTTTTTTATATATTATTAAATTGTTGCTGCGTGAAGCTGAAGACCGTGCACAATGGAATAACATCATAAGAGAGGCAACGGACACCTTTCAAGGACACGACCTTCAGTAATGTAGAGGACGAAGAGAGAGAGATATTATTAAATTAAACAGTCGCTACCGGTTATTATATTTATATAAACAGCATAAATAAGACTACTAATATTAGATTAAAGAAAGTAGTTATGGTTTAACCAAATAAGAAAGACTCAATATAAAGTATCCTTATCAACAAATGAATTAGATTTAAAAATGGAATGTTGCCCAATTATGTTTGCGTGCTCTACTTTTGATGATACAGTTTAGTTTTATGGTGTGATTACGATATTTGTACAATATATAAGACTCATTAATAGTATCATTGATGGCGGTAGAATATATTGGTAACTCAAATTTATTATTAACAAGTACAGGTAGATATATGAAAAAAAAAATTGATCTTTTGACCGATTATTATATTTTAACTCTTTCCCACGACCTTGTCCGCATGGTTTACCATATAGAGTATCCTATATGGCTAAAATCAAAGTTAACAATCCTTTATGTGATAATAAAAAATGTGATCCACATTTTAATAAAATTGATCCGAATTAAACAAATATTCAGACCTCCTTGGGGATTAAACTGTGATATTTATGACGAGTTCTTATAAATTTTAACAAAATGTACTTAGCTTTAAATCAGATAGGTAGGTATTCAGACAAAATACTTTTATCTAAAGAAACATTTTAGGTAACTATCTAATCTACACTTATCATTTGAAATAAATTGGTATCAACATTTTTAATATATTTTTTTGTTTTTTGTTAACCTAAGCAAAGGATAGGTATTTTTTTAAAAGTGCTGAGATAAAGGGTCTTTCTGTAGAAACCAAAATTAATTAGACAATATCAGAAACAAATACTTTCAACGCTTAAAGTTTTTGAACTCATGATCTAAGATACTACTGTTATAAATGTGAAAGTTTGTAAAGATCCTTGAATGTTAAATGTATAAATGTTTGATGATTATTCAATCAAACTTAAAATGTATCACATCAACTCAGCAACGCAATTTAAATCGATTCAGCGGATCGATATTTAAACAACTGCAATGCATTAGGAACAGGCCATTGACATTCATGTATACACGAACCATTACGAAATCTAAATCTATCTACCTATTATGGCATCTACCTATATTTTTAATAGGTGATAACGGAATGGTATCCCCACCTGCGCCATCGATTCGATATATAACAATAGGAGGATAAAGTTAAGGGGAACTTCCAGGGGAACTATGTGTCAAAGTCAATCTGATAGGGTATATTACTAGCAATGGAGCTATTAGACCCCATTACTAACAATGCTCCTCCTTTCCCTCTCTAGTTATCTATTGATTTTTGCGTACCTAGTTCTCTATAATCAATCTCATATTGGCAGGTGTAAATTGTGTACCTAACTAGATAAGACATTATAATTTCATCTAATACATGCTGGTAAGATAAATTTATCAAAGGAATGAAAATATTTACCATCCTAATTTTTGGTTACATTAGGGATTTTCTTTAATAATAAGATGCCTAATTTGTGAGACCCAATCAATTTAGATAACATGCATTATTACTATTTCCAAACATAAAGTAGGTGTCTATATTAAGCCACGCTGTTCTAGAAAACATCTAACTAGGTAGATATCTACTCAATATTTGAGTATTTACTTATATTGTTTCAAAACGTGATTCAACGTACCAGTTGATTATCTAAAGGCACAATATCCTGTCGACTCTCCAACTGCTATTGCACTACACTTTTGTCACTATCACTTAAAAATTGTTCATGTCCAAAAGAAAGTAAAAGTATTATTTTTAACTTTTAGTTAGCGTAAACAAGAATTTTTAGTATGGTCAAGCTTCCTGCGTGCAGGGCGCGCCCGAATAATTGCTGAACACTCATAGATGGCTGCTTGGGTTCAGATAAGATAATAGAAAACAGGTCTAGATAGTCTTGTAACGAATCATATTCATACATCGAGTGTGTTATCTGTTTTTGTTAGTGATTAGATAGATAACACCCGATTATGGTGAAACTTGCAACGTTTATTGAACAAATGAATAGTATAATCCATAGTTATTTTATTAATTCTTATTAATAACTAACTATATCCTGCGGCTTTGCCCGTGTTGATTCTTAGCTAATATTATAAATGCGAAAGTGAATTTGTTTCTTTGTTTTACGCTTTCACGTTTAAAACACAGAATCGATTATAATGAATTTTTGTATAGAAATAGATGGAACCCTAGTGACAATTAAGTAAGTCGGTAAGTGAATATATATACAGTGAGTGTAGAAAGTATTCGTACACCTAGGGTTGTAATAAAAAAAATACGAATTTGATAGACTTTCTTTTATTTATCTAATTTAAATCAATACTATTAAATATTTTAACATTCCCGCACTTTGTTTATGATAATTTTTGTTTTTTAATAAAAAAAATTATACAACATAAAAATATTTTTACGTTAACTAAGCAAATAATGACAAACAAAAAGTATTCGTACACTTATAAAATTTTTAAGTAAATGAATATTAAAAAAATATTAATACTTTGTTGGACCACCGTTAGCATTGATGATAGCTTGGAGTCTCTGCGGCATCGAATCAACTAGTTTGAAAATATAAGAAGACGGTATCAATGCCCATTCTTCGCGAAGCGCAATTTTTAGTGTTTCTTTATCGAAATTGGTCGATTTCGAATTTTATTATCGAGATAATCCCACACATGCTCTATAATATTAATATCAGGTTATTGAGGAGGAATCTCTAGGTATTTTGGAGCGTTAAACAGGATCCATGCTTTAGTATTCCATGCTTTATGTTTAGGGTCATTATCTTGTAAAAATATCCAATTATTGTTAAAACCCATTTGAGCTGCACTAAAGAGAAGATTCTCTTTTAAAATATTAATATACGTTTTGTGATCCCTAATTCCATCAATAAATGCAAGTTTTCCCACCCCAAAAGCACTCATGCAACCCCATACAAATACTGACCCACCACCGTGTTTTACCGTTGGACATAAATTTTCTTTCTTATATTCCATATTAGGTTTTCTCCATACCATATGATGTCCATCCGATTTGAAAATATTATATTTCGATTCATCTGAGTAAATAACAGTTTGCCAAAAATGATTTTTTTCATTAAAATATTTTTTTGCGAATTCTAATCTTTTTTTCTTTTAATATCATTTACCCAATACTTTTTACGCGCAGTTCTTCCATGATAATCGTTACTACGTAATACGTTCCGAACGGTACTGACAGAAATATGGCAATCATTGATATTATTAATTTCTTGTAACACTCGAGGGGCACTAATTTTTGGATTTTTTTTTACACAATTTAAAATTTTCCGATCCAATCGAGGCGTGATTTTTGATGGACGCCCCACCTCTGGGTTTGTTTTTTAGTGTTTTAGTAATAGAAAACCGATCAATTACAGTCTGTACGGTTGAACGTGGTCTATTGACAAATTTTGCAATTTCACATAATGATTTGCATTGATTATGCAAATTAATAATTATTTTTCTCTCCTCTTCACTCGTTTCTTTTGCTTTACGACCCATTTTTGTAACTAAACACGTCTATACTTGTCACGAGTGCAACTAAAACGTCTAATATCTATACCTACGTATTAAAAATGACCTTGGCATTGTAGGCATATGAAAAATTCGATTGAATAAATGATTTATACAGAATTTCATTTAAATAAGAATGAATGTACGAATACTTTTTGTTTGTCATTATTTGCTTAGTTAACGTAAAAATATTTTTAAGTTGTATAATTTTTTTTTAAAAAAACAAAAATTATCATAAACAAAGTGCGGGAATGTTAAACTATTTAACAGTATTGATTTAAATTAAATAAATAGAGGAAAGTCTATCAAATTCGTATTTTTTTTATTATAACCCTAGGTGTACGAATACTTTTTACACTCACTGTATATGAAATCGTGGGCAAAGTTTTAAGTTAGGATATAACTTATCCGTGTACCAATCTTTAAAATCCATTTAGAAGTTTTTACATAGAAAGTTTACATCGTATGTTTTTACATCCAAACACCTTCACATATTTTCGTATTTATAATAGTAGTAGGATAATGTATAGCTTTTTTTCCACATTACTATGTTTTGTAAAAACAAATACAAATAAAAGGAAAGTAACAACAGAAACATTCTTGCCTTGTGGTCCAGGCATAGAATGGGCCACCCTTTCCTTTCCCGTGTCATAAAAGGTGACTAAGGTTAATGATAGAGGAATGGGCAGAAGCGTCCTTCGTAAATCATTACCAAAGCCTAATTGCGGTTGTCAATCTACCTGCCAATCGTAGCAACCATTGGTAAAATCCCCCATAGGTAAACTGCCATAAGGAACGCTTCCGTTCCTTAGGCAGTCAATGGAGGAGACCTTTTTTCAGTAGTAGACAGAAAATGGCTAAAATAATGACGACCATAATGGCGAATAACAGAATTAATAACTAATAGCGAGGATTGACAAAAGAAAATATACAAGGCTGAACCCCAAAACATGGTATTATGAGTAGACTACGGTCTTTGCATTTGTATCAACTAATTACAACCTATACAAATTTTCGACAATACACAGAGAGAGTTTATACAAAGTTTTCTGCATGGTTTCCAAGCACCTCTACTTATATAGGTGCCTGTCTTATTAATAGTTAATAATGTAACTTATTTACTGACCGTATTTTTATCTAATGGCTATAAAATTACTGAGCAAAGCTCAACAGTTATTAAAAATTGATTGCCACGACTTCATCTGCGTAGAACTAAAACTGAAATTTATATCTTAATTGAGAAAAGACAAGAAAAGTTTGCATGCAAGATCATTCCATGCAAACTTTTATTCCTATTTCACCCTCTTCAAGTTTTATTTATACAAAAAAGTAGCCAATATCTACAGTTCAGTCTATACCTAAATCTAAATTCATTAAAATTAATTCAGTGATTTAGACATGAAAAAGTAACAGACATACAGATAGAATTATTATCGCATTTATAATATTGACATCTCATCTGATGATCTATCTTTAATATAGATTATCAAATGAAATATATTATGGGCGTCACTGTGTGGTCTTTTTAGGTTAATAGGTTACGATTATTACCTTCAATCAAGTATGTATACGTACTCGTATAAGTCTAATACTTACACTACAATATTTTATATAATTTAGCAATCAGTTAAAAACTTAAAAAGTACTGTACTACTCTATACTTCATTGAATTTAAAAGATTTTTAAAGGTTGTAAATTGTAAATGTAAAATTACGTCTTTTCAATAGGTATTGAGGTAACAACATAGAGCAAAAGCTCGACGAGGATGAGATTCGAACTCACGCGTGCAGAGCACAATGGATTAGCAGTCCATCGCCTTAACCACTCGGCCACCTCGTCTTCTGGCATCTTCTGCAAATTTCATTATTGCTATAAGTTAAAAATATAAAACATCAAATTAAATAAGTTTATATATTAAAACTATTTCCATTGATTTAAAAACATAAATATGTATAATTCTTTACTTTAAAAGACAAATAAGTTTTAGTAAAGTTGATGTTCTTTAATTTACAGCGACATCTATAATATAATTTAGAAACTAAAATAGTTGTACAACATTTTCAAATGAAAAGAAACCTCTTTAGTAAATTATTCTTTATTTCAGTAGTGGCCGTGTATTATTATTAGTTATATATTTATATTAAAATATTATTATATTGCAATCAAAATATTATTAGTCAGATTTTTCAATACAATTAAAAATGTTTTCCCATGGAGAGCGACACCTATGAATAATTATGAGTAACATACATAATATAATTAGCACCGCGTAATCGTACTCAGTCATTCTAATGACTTTCAATAGATGGCTCTATTCATTTAATTTTCAAATATTTTGACATTAACAAAGATAATTGTTTACAATTCGTTGTGCTAAGTGGTTATAATAATTCTTACTAAATAATCAAAATTTTTATCGAAATTAGCCAATAAAAATTTATTTCAATTTACTTTTAAATGCCCAACTTCGATAAATAAACTTTAAAGATATTTAATAAAATATGAGAAGAATAATTTTTTTTTTGATGATCATGGAATGGTAACTCCGCCTGTGCTATCGGTATATACTAGTGAAGCGCCAGTGAGGGATGGTAGATGAGGAGGAAAGCAAGTCAGTCAATCTATCGTGACGAATTTACCATAAATTGTTGGTTTACCGTTTACCATATAGTGTTGGTTGAATTTACCATGATGGTTTTCAAGGGGGATCGCGTGGAGGCCAATCTGTTTGGGTATATTACTAAAAATGAGTTACTAACAATTCCATCTCCAGTATAAGAAAGCTAGTAAAAATGAATTATTTTTATTTTCTTATATATTATATTTTAATATTCTTTTAATTATTATTAAATATACCTATAGAGATTTATTGTTAAATAGACCTGTATAGACAGATAGGTCTACTAATATACCTTGTTAGATATTTAACGGTAAATTAATCTACACAGCATTATCTATTTCGTATAAACACATATTTATGGTCAGAATAGTCTAATGACTATATATTAATATATACTAATATATGTTGTGACTCTATGTTTTACTCATAAAATCAATTTTATAATTAAGACCAAAGGAGAAAGGTAACAAATTGCACATATCAAAAATAATGTCATCTCATATGCGTTTTTAGTCCATCAATTATTTTATTTATTTTGCAATTGAGTGCGTGCGCTGATTATGAATGGGGAGAAAAGAGGACCGAAGACCGGCTGTCGGTTGCTTAGCAACGCACCCCTCATCTCAGAGTCACCGTCTGACCCTGAGGTCGCTCATCCCTTATTTCATATTATAAGAG